ATTAGGAAAACATCACACAGCTTCTTTGTTAAAGAGATTTAACGTAGTATGCTTGAGTAGCCCAATTTTACTTTTTATTTCTTACTATCTGATGCCTGGGTAGCAGAGAACAGGCCATACACTTAGTTAGCTTTATAATTGCATGAGTCACTTCCACGGGTCCCAACAGTATTTCAGGATAGTTCTCAGGTGAAGTAAGTGAGCTGATTTATATTCTTCCCACCCAGTGCAGTGAACCCTCCCCACTCATTGTCTGAGTTCAGCAGTGGAAAAGCGCCATGACCACTTGGAGACTGAGGAGGGATGACCCGGCCTGACTGAGGTCTTTTGAACGAGGCTCCGGCTGGGGAGGCCAGAGGCTGGGAACAGTGTTCTCAGACTCTCAGTCATGACTGACTCTTTGCGACCCCGCGGACTGTGGCCCGCCAGGCTCCTCTGTACGTGGGACTTCTCCCGCAAGGGTACTGCAGTGGGTTGCCATCTCCTCCTCCAGGAGGGAACGGTGTGTCAGGAGCAAATGGTCGGCATTTAGAGCTGGTGCTCGATGGGAGTAGCTGATGAGGCAAGACGGACAAGGTCTCCAGCGTAGCACTGAGGTATGAGGGTAAGTCCTCCTTCCAGAACACACCTTTTATGCTGGTTCATGCCCTTTGTGGTAGCAAAAGCTGTACCTAGCAAGAGAGTTATTCACGGCAATTCTTAGCTGGATCCTTTCAGGAAATCATGAAAGAGGCAAAGGGTTCTGCCAAAGTCTGTTTCCCTTGCCTTTTCACCTCAGCACTGGCACTTCATTTCCTTACCCCTCTAGGGCTAATTCCCTTCTTACTATTGTTCAGTTGCTAAGGCGTGTTCAACTTTTGTGACCTCAGAGACTGTAGCAAGCCAGTTTCCTCTGTCCTCCATTATCTCCCGGAATTTGCTCAAACTTATGTCCATTGAGTCAATGATGCCATCCAACCTTCTCATCCTCTGTCATCCCCTTCTCCTCCTGCCCTCAATCTTTCCCAGCATCAAGGTCTTTTCTAATGAGTCGGCTCTTCGCATCAGGTGGCCAAAGTATTGGAGTTTCAGCTTCAGGCTCAGTCTTCCAATGACTATTCACGCTTGATTTTTTTTTTTTTAGGATTGACTGGTTTGATCTCCTTGCTGTTCAAGGGACTCTCAAAAGTCTTCTCCAGCCTCTTAAAATCCTGAATGATTATGAAAATTAGCATCTTATCCTTCTCTGTTAGGAAAGAGAATTCTTAATTTACTGCTAATCAATAAAGGACAGAAATGGTATGGACCTAACTGAAACAAAAGATATTAAGAAGAGGTGGAAAGAATACGCAGAAGAACTGTACAAAAAAGATATTCATGACCCAGATAACCACAATGGTGTGATCACTCACCTAGAGCCAGACATCCTGGAAGGCAAAGTCAAGTGGCCCTTAGGAAGCATCACTACCAACAAAGCTAGTGATGGAATTCCAGTTGAGTTGTTTCAAATACTAAAAGATGATGCTGTAAAAGTGTTACATTCAATATGCCAGCAAATTTGGAAAACTCAGCAGTGGCCACAGGACTGGAAAATGTCAGTTTTCATTCCAGTCCCAAAGAAAGGCAATGCCAAAGAATGCTCAAACTACCACATAATTGCACTCATCTCACACGCTAGTAAAGTAATGCTCAAAAGTCTCCAAGCCAGGCTTCGGTAGCATGTAAACTGAGAACTTCCAGATGTTCAAGCTGGATTTACAAAACGCAGAGGAACCAGGGAACAAATTGCCAACATCTGCTGGATCATTGAGAAAGCAAGAGAGTTCCAGAAAAACATCTATTTCTGCTTTATTGATTACACCAAAGTCATTGACTGTGTGAATCACAACAAACTGTGGAAAATTCTTCAAGAGATGGAAATACCAGACCACCTTACCTGCCTCCTGAGAAATCTGTATACAGGTCAAGAAGCAACAGAACTGGACATGGAACAACTGACTGGTTCCAAGTCAGAAAAGGAGTATGTCAAGTCTGTATATTGTCACCCTGCTTATTTAACTTATATGCAGAGTACATCATGCAAAATGCCAGGCTGGATGAAGCACACGACAGAATCAAGATTGCCGGGAGAAATATCAATAACCTCAGATATGCAGATGACACCACCCTTATGGCAGAAAGTGAAGAACTTAAGAACCTCTTGATGAAAGTGAAAGAGGAGAGTGAAAAAGCTGATTTAAAACTCAACATTCAGAAAACTAAGATCATGGCATGCACGCCCATCACTTCATGGCAAATAAGTGGGGAAACAATGGAAACAGTGAGAGACTTTGGCCACCTGATGCGAAGAGCTGACTCAATGGAAAAGACCCTGATGCTGGGAAAGATTGAAGGAACGAGGAGAAGGGGATGACAGAGGGTGAGATGGTTGGATGGCATTACTGACTCGATGGACATGAGTTTGAGCAAGCTCCAGGAATTGATGATGGACAGGAAAGCCTGGCGTGCTGCAGTCCATGGGGTCAAAAAGATTTGGACACGACTGAGCAACTGAACTGGACTGAATCAAGAAAATCAGAATGAATTACATATGATTATCAGTAGTTCTTCTTTTTCAACCTGCTTCCAAATACCAAAATAATGGCCTAGGCTAATATAAGCTAATTATAAATCAACAAACAAAGTGTTTGGTGTTTTCTTTTTTTTTTTTCACAGTTTCATAATTTTAAGAAGAGAGTATACTGATTGAATAAAAGTTAGTCTTTAATAGAAAAGCAAGATTGCTTTGACTTTTAAGTGTAGATGTTATCTTTTTAAAAAGCACACCTCTTTGAATTTTGAAATGAATATAGCTGCTATAATTTTAACAGATAGTAATAAAATTTGAGTTGTGTGTTTATATGTACTAATCAGTGGTAGAGATGTATGATTTTGCTGCGTGAATTTCATAAAATCACTATTCTCAATACTGAAAGTAGTTAAAAATGTTTTCCTCTTTGGGCTGTTATAAATCCATATTGCATTATTTGAACTGTAAAAGATGTTGATTCTTGGATAAAACTATTACATTCTGGCTCTTCACTTTGAATTCAACTGTGGTAGAATTTCTTTGAAAATGATTTAATGTTTATAAGCATGCATGCATGGATAATTTCAGAATGAATAGTGAACTTGAAAAGCCAAACCTCTCCTGACAGTGGATTGATTTATTCTGGAAGAAATTAAGAGAAATATCAGAAGTATGTGCTCTCTTTTAGGTGTAACACAAACTCGAGGCAAATACTCTTGACTTGTGCCATCTGAGAAATGATTCTTAGTATCTGTGCATGTGATTTACATATAACTCACATGCCTACACAAAATATCCCAAGCCAGCTGCCTCTGTAGGTTTCCTACTCAGACGAAAGAAAGCAGACCATTGTCAGAGTGAGGGAGGTAAGGAATGAAGAGCAGCAGCTATGCATGGACTCCACAGTTAGCTCAAGCCGGGCACTGAGACAAGGGCCTACCAAGAACTGGGCTCCCCCACCCCACCCCACCCACCCATCCCCACCACGATGGCTGGGGCTTCATCAAGGTGCTCAGGCAGAGGGGCTGTCTGGAAGACAGAGCCAGTATGCATAACCGGGTGGTGTTTTGTTTTTTCTTTGAGATGTCTATGGATTAAAACTCTTGAGTTTTTGTTTTAAACATCAGGGGTTTTCTTTTTTTGCTTTAAAATAAAAAATAAATTTCTTTTTTTAATAAAAATATCACTTTATCTAAGGAAAAATTATATATATAAAACCTTCTATGTCTAGAATATTCCCATTTTATTTGATATATATATAGTGTGTGTGTGTGTGTGTGTGTGTGTGTGTGTGTGTGTGTATTTGTTGTTGCTGTTGTTTTAAGTCACTAAGTTGTGTCCAACTCTTTTCAACCCCATGAACTCTAGCCCATCAGACTCCTCTGTCCCTGGGATTTCCCAGGTAAGAATACTGTAGTGGGTTGCCATTTCCTTCTCCGGGTATCTTCCTGACCCAGGGATTGAAGCTGCATCTTCTGTATTGGCAGGCAGGTTCTTTACCACTGAGCCACCAGGGAAGCCAAAAATAAAAGTGAGAATATTCTAAACATAGAGATTTATAAACAGGTATTTTAAACTTAAGGGCTTTCCTTGTGGCTCAGATGGTAAAGAATCTGCCTGCAGTGCAGGAAATCTGGGTTCAATCCCTGGGTTGGAAAGATCCCTTGGAGGGGAATTGGCAATCCACTCCAGCATTCTTGCCTGGAGAATTCCATGGACAGAGGAACCTGATGGGCTACACTGCAGGGGTCACAAAGAGTTGGACTCGACAGATTTATTTTACTTTCACTTTTCATTTTAACTTAATGTATAAGGAGCATTGTTCATCATTACTGAAGACATCTATGGCATCATTCATGATATTTTATTAGAATTAACATGATTAATTTACCTTCAGTTGCTGGAGGTATGAAGTGTCATGAAAGTATTTCCCCTTATTAACAATGTGTGTGTTAGTCGAGTTGTGTCTGACTTGATCACTCATTGTGATCCCACGGACTATATAGCCCACCAGGCTCCTCTGTCCATGGATTTCTCCAAGCAAGAATACTGTAGTGGGTTTTCAATCCCTTCTCCAGAGAATTTTCCTGACCCAGGGATCGAACCCGGGTCTCCTGCATTGCAGGTGGATTCTTTACTGTCTGAGCTACCCAGGAAGCCCCATACTACAATAAATATATGTGTACATGCATTTATTTATATTAGCTGTTTATTTTCCCAGGATAAAATTCTAGAAATAGAATCACTGGAAGGCCACTCATCAAACACCTACACAGAACTGTCACATATGCAATAATAAATTCCATTGTCTCAACCAGGGAAATTATAGGAAAAGTATAAAATTCAGATACACAGAAGAAAAAAATTTTCTGGAATTCCAAAGATCAGAGATAACTAATTGTTACAGAAATTAGTCCACCCTTACAAATCCAAGCTTTTAGTCAACCCAAATTGGAATTAGTGGCTAAAAATGAGGGTTTGGTAATGGTTTTCTCTTTCTCAACCATCTTCTTCCTTCTTGAATACCTGTTATAGAAAATAAAATGCTAGTATGTATACAGTAATTATCTTATATATATACAAAACTATTTATGTGTACAATATATTCTTCTTTACCTTCTTTTCACTCTCAAATATTCATGTCAAAGAAAGCAGAAAATTGACATAGACAAGTAGATATCACTTACTTGATTTTGGAAATGTCAGCCTGTGTCAAAAATGCACACTTAGGTTTAAGTGTGAGACAGTTCAGGTGAGAGACAGTTTTAGCTAATCATTTCAGCCAGTCCCCAAATTCCTCAGCTCCTTTGAAGTTTGGAAGACCATGTGATTAGCTATGGCCAATGAAATGTGAGTAGAAGCCACAAGCAGTCCTGGGCGGAGGCAGTGGAAAGCCCACTGAGAATCTCTTCTCTCTCCCTGCTACAGGGCCCAAGGAGCTGTTGCAACCACAAGATGGCAGAAATTCCATCATCCTGGTCTTCGAATAAGATGGCCTTCCCATCTGCAATGGGTATGTAACAAGAGCAAGAATTAAATCTTTCTTGGGTTAAGCCACTGGGATTTCAGATTAATTGGGTAACTGCAACGTTAGCCTATCCTGTCCTGACTTACAGGAGGCTCACACATTCTGCGTATCTGTCCACCCTCTGCATTAAAGGTTCCAAACCTCATGGGGACTCAAAACCACCACTCATCATTCTCAGACTGCTTACATGGAATTTGACTTCCTAGCTCAGCTCTAAGGGTAAAGAATCAGGACGATATAGCAGAGACAGGTGAGTGCTCCCTTCTTGTGAGTGCAGGAGTGATATTAATGTGAATAGGAGGCGGATATAGTTTTGGATGCTTCCAGGCCTGAAGTAACTTATGAAATAAATGTATATTATGCATCCAGTATGTGAGAAACAATAATGGTATATAGACAGATTGCCCTGCTAGGCAAGTACATTGTATCACTTGTTCTCCATCAATTAATCATGAAAAGTGATGTATGGCAAGGAGTGGAGAAGTGAGTCAACAAAGAAGGAGTAGGAGATGAAGCACAGACCCTTTATACTCCTTTGGTATCTAATGGCTTTCAATGAATTCTCCGAAACTCATTGAATGCTGCTTTTCTCTTCTATCTGAATTTTTTAATAATGATCATGCATTATTTTTATAATTAGGAAAAGGTTTTTGTTTTGAAAAAAAGTCACTGTTGATGAATGAAGAGTTAGTCATTGTTTCCTCCATTGACCTGGCACAAACAGTGCCTGTGAGCTGGTGCCTGGAAGGCGGATGCAGGTTGTCATTCTACAAGCAAGCGCAACAGGGAGGCACGTCACAGAGGCTCTGATGCGGGAGCTGTGTACTGAGCGACCGCCTAGCCTTTGCCTGTTCATCCATCATCTCTGTCATTCCGGGATTGTTCCCTTTAGTCTCCAGTGATATTCTTTGTAGCTTTTGTGAGTTCTGGACTTGCCCGTAGATTCACACTTGCCAGGGTCTAGAAATGTCATCATGGAATTGCCCAAAACAGTGAACATCTGTGAATTTTTTGTTAAATAAAGTCTCTGTGCATAGCCTTCACTTCACCATTATCATTATTCTCCAGTAAAACCAAGCAAGAAATTACATCGCCTCTTCCCTGTCTTTTTGTATCTTTGTATCTCCTATTTATTTAATGCAGATAAGTATATCAGAAACCACCTTGTCACAGCAGTAAATAAATAAAATCCTTCTTTAGCTCCTATTTCTGTGGCAAGTTATTTGCTATCATTTCTTGGTCTGTGAACAACTGAAGGTCACTTTCTAGATAAGAAATGCAGCCCAATTATCTCAATTTTCCCATTTTAAAATGATTTTGACTACTAGCAATGTAAGTTAGGGTTAATTTGTGATAATTACCAAATTTCAAGTAAGTGGTAAATGAAAATCGTCTGGTATTGTGTAAGGAAGGAGTAATTTAAAGTCTTTGTGGGAAGCAATTGGTATTTTAAATGAGCTTGTCTGTAGACATCATGTGTCTAAAACTATTTTAAAGGACTCTGTAGAGCTCTATGATTTTAAATTTATCTTACTATTATAGTCATTTTACTAGCTAGGGAACTGCAGCCATCTATCCCTGGCTGGCTGTTTCTGACACCCACAGATGTATCCACCCACATGCTCACCCACTCAAACCTACACTCTGACTCACATTCAAAACGATTGTCAAAAAATCCCCACTCCTTGTCTAACTAAAGTGTTCCTTTCAAACACATGCTACTTGTTTGATCTATTTCCATGTGTCTGTGAGTCAGCTGAGTCTTGTCTGATCTACCAGTAGACGAGAACCTACATGTATGTTTTTTCATATGGATTTGGCAAACCTGATACATATTCTAGCTTACTGAAGTCATAAAAGCACAGTGAACTGTTTTTTTGCTCACAATACTTTGACACCAAATCTGTGGGTGTTTTCCTCACACTAACCAACTTGCCAACTCTCCAGATATCTACGATGTGCCCCACAATTTAGTTCTGACAGTAGCTACCAGTCAATGCAGACCCAACAGGTTAAGGACTCATTCCCACAAGACTACCCCCACTTTAGACAGCTGTCTCAAGTCCCAGGTGCCCTGGGACTTTTTCAATTTACTGACAGGCTGTAAATTGAGCGTGCCCTTTACCTCCCCCTTCAGGTTTTGTAATTTGTTTGAACAGTTCACAGAAATCACAAATAGTTTACTTGCTATTACCAGTTTATGACAAAAGATACAACTCAGCAACAACCAACTGGAAGAAATGCACTAGACAAGGTATAGGATTGTGGTAGGGGAATGATGTCACGGAGCTCTCTGGGAATACCACCCTCCCAACACCTCGATGTGTTCACTAATTAGAAAGCTCTCTGAACTTTATCATTTAGGGAATTTAATGGTGGTTCCATACATGGTTATGATGGATTAAATCATGCCCACCAAGAGTCACCTTATTAACATACACAACACAGGTATGGCTGAAAGGAGTTGTTATTGATTTCTTGGATACAAGACAATGTTTTTTTTTCCACTTTAATACATCTTTATTTATTTATTCCTTCTCTGATATACTTCCTTTTGTTATGTAGACTGAGTTTTTGACCCATAAACAAGATAAAATTCTAAAAAAGTGCTGCTGCTAAGTTCAGTGGGCCTCTCTTGTGGCTCAGCTAGTAAAGAATCCGCCTGCAATGCGGGAGACCTGGGTTTGATCCCTGGGTTGGGAAGATCCCCTGGAGAAGGGAAAGGCCACCCACTCCAGTATTCTGGCCTGGAGAATCCCACGGACTGTGTAGTCCACGGGGTCGCAAACAGTTGGGCAAAAATTAGGGGCTTTCACTTCACTGAGTTCAGTGAGTTCAACTGTCACTGCCTGGCTGACTCAAAGTCCTTTTTAAAATGTGCCAACAAACCTGGGAACCCTAGTAGGGGTCATAGGAAAAGGGCAGGTAGTTTGGCTTTGCAGGAGGACTGGCCTCTTGGCCTGATTACCTCTCTATTCCTTGGTTCCTTTTCAAATCAGGGCCAGACAGAAAAACACCACCCTTCCACCACTACCATCGCCTTGTCTTCAGAGCATTTCTAACAGGAGCTGACTTCCCACGGTCCCAGATCATCTGAGTCATGAGTTCTAGGGCCTAAGTCTAACAGGAAACTGCTATGTACCAAAAATATCTATCAGAATAAAAACAATTGTTTTTTATTTGCTTGAGGGAGTAAAGAAGGGCATTTAATACAACAGTCAACACCATGGTGCAGAATTTAAATATATACTTATACAATTTGAGGTAAATATTTGCTCAATAAGAAATAAGTTTCCATTTTTAACCACTCTTTTCTTGTGACCCCTGTGTAGATTGCAACTGAGAGACCTATCTATAGGGAACAGAACATTTTCACAAGTAGCATATGAATTTTTCAATGCATTCAAAATACAGATTGGGCTGAGGTTATCAAAATAGAATTATATTTCAAAATAAGAAGTACTGTGAGTCAGGACAGTCATACCAATTATAGCAACCTTGTTTCTGAAAGGCATAACGCTTGGGCCAGCCTCCATGGTAGCAAAGCAGTATTTTATCAAAATGGTGTAATTAGCAATGTGTGGCAATATTTTAACCCCTCCTCCCAAGGGTTCCACAATGCTTTTTTTAACATGTTTATAAATGTTTGCTTTCTTGCCATTTTAGGGGGAGCTTCCCATACGAACATTTGGCTTCCGGTGAGTCATCCCCAGTCTGGTTCACAGCCAAAAGCTGCCTGCTTGGCTCTCAATGGATATTGGGCTCAGAGACTCCCTCATCTTTAAAACTGATTTAAATGAAGATGGAAAAGGTGATAGAAGGAGAAAGACATATTCAGATAAGTATAAGAACACTCTTGTTTCCTTACAAGAGTTTGACAGCTATGCACCATAATCTAACTACTATTTAAGCTTAGCAAAATGCCTGGATTATGGTGGATTTGTGTTTGGCCATTTAATAAAACATCTGGATAATTTTACCTGGTGTTGTTACATTTTTTGAGTCATCATGCATATTTTCTCGCTAAGAACATCTCAGAATTCAAACTACTAACCTGAAATTTTACTTTTATTGTTGCAATTATGGTTATTGGAACCTAAAACCATCAACTAAAATGAAACTGGAAGGATAAATCCCTTCCTACCTCTCCCAGTCTGAGCCACCAGGGAAGTTCTCTTGAGAAACCTATATGCAGGTCAGGAAGCAACAGTTAGAACTGGACATGGAACAAGGAACTGGTTCCAAATCAGGAAAGGAGTACATCAAGGCTGTATATTGTCACCCTGCTTATTTAACTTATATGCAGAGTACATCATGAGAAACACTGGGCTGGAGGAAGCACAAGCTGGAATCAAGATTGCCAGGAGAAATATCAATAACCTCAGATATGCAGATAACACCACCCTTATGGCAGAAAGTGAAGAACTAAAGAGCCTCTTGATGAAAGTGAAAGAGGAGTCAAAAAGTTGGCTTAAAGCTCAACATTCAGAAAACTAAGATCATGGCATCTGGTCCCATCACTTCATGGCAAATAGATGGGGAAACAGTGGAAACAGTAGCTGAGTTTATTTTTATGGGCTCCAAAATCACTGCAGATGGTGACTGCAGCCAAGAGATTAAAAGATGCTTACTTCTTGGAAGGAAAGTTATGACCAACCTAGACAGCATATTAAAAAGCAGAGACATTACTTTTTCAACAAAGGTCTGTCTAGTCAAGGCTATGGTTTTTCCAGTAGTCATGTATGGATGTGAGAGTTGTACTATAAAGAAAGCTGAGCACCAAAGAATTAATGCTTTTGAACTGTGGTGTTGGAGAAGACTCTTGAGAGTCCCTTGAAGTGCAAAGAAATCCAACCAATCCATCCTAAAGGAGATCAGTCCTGGATGTTCATTGGGAGAACTGATGTTGAAGCTGAAACCCTAATACTTTAGCCACCTGATGCAAAGAGCTGACTCATTGGAAAAGCCCCTGATGCTGGGAAAGATTGAGGGCAGGAGAAGAAGGGGACAACAGAGGATGAGATGGTTGGATGGCATCACCAACTCAATGGACATGGGTTTGGGTGGACTCTGGGAGTTGGTGATGGACAGGGAGGCCTGGTGTGCTGTAGTTCATGGGGTCACAAAGAGTTGGACTGAGCGACTGAACTGAACCTGCCCCCCCCCATTAGAATTGAAGAAAATAAAGGTCCTTAGGTGAGATTAACTCTCTTCTGAACTAAAATAGCAAAACTTTTCTTTATGTAAATAAGGAAGCTACCATTATTAAGCATATGAACTAGCACTGATTCCCTCTGTAGTTCCATTTCCAAAGGGCAAAACTTGGGAGTTGGAGTGAGACAGTACAGATCTTGGCAGGTAGATATCAACATGGAAAGAAAAGAAATTAAAAATTGCTGTGCATAATGGAATTATAGGTTTTCTTTTAAAAACAATTAAATACCTTACAAATTAAGTAGAATATACTATTTATTCTTTCTTATTGGATTAAGAAGGATTACAGACACTAGCCCCCTATATCTTGAATTGCATGCTATGTTCCCACCTATGTTTGTGTATTATGTAGTAAATGCTTAGGAATGATCTTTGTGCTCTCTTACCTTCTATAAACATTCTTCCATTTTTCTTGAATGTATACTTCTTTCTGTCTACATTTCATTTTTCCCAGTTTTCATATGGACTTGGATATAAAACTGTATCACTTTCTTCTTTAAGAAAAATGATCCTATTCGTATATTGATGAATGACAACAATCATTTAGTCTTAGTATGAAAGAGACAAAAGGAGTGATGAGAACTGTGACAAAATACAAAAGTGTATGCCCCATCTGAAATGAGTATCTAATTCTAAGCATCAGAAAAAATGGCAATAGCCAGATCTTCTAAGTTTTCAAAAGAAAGTCTGAAAGTATTTACAATTTTACAATTAGTTCAATTCTTTAAAAACAAGCAATTCCATTTTAAGAGGCTCAAAACACCAATAATTACCACTGGAAAACATGGGACATTAAATATGTATACTTCAACCCACACTGGGGGAAGGGAGATACAGAAGGGACTGAGAACCTTGGTGTCCTTCATGGCCTGTCTTCCACCTTTCAGCTCATCACCAACACATACACTGCTCCACGGGACCATTGAGGGGCCAGCGGTCATCTCTGATCCTCTTGTGGGAGCCTTTCCCTAATTTGCTCCAAAGTGAACACTTCACATTTGAATTCATTCATACTGGAAGAGATGGAAAAATCTTAGGAGCAATTATAAGAATAACAAAAATAAACATATTGAGAGTCACTATTCTTTCACTCAGCAAATATTTACAGACTGTCTGCTGTGTGCTAGAACTATAAAGTTTCTGTGACATGTTAGGCACTATGTAGACACTGGAAATAAATCAGTTTTAAAAAGGCAAAAGAGCCCCCTTGCAGAAATTATATCCATTGGGAAGATAGACGATAAATAAAAATGAGTAAGTGTGATATGGGCTAGGTTAGATGGTGATAAATGCCATGGAGAAAACTAGGGTAGGAAGAGTTCATTTCTCTGGGTCCCCCATGTGTAATTGGAATGGACATGCTTGGTAACTGGCAGAACCTCCAGTATAAGATCTCTTGTACTATGGGATAAAAGCTGTATTAGTTGGGAAGACCAAGTAAAATATCTAACATTTGCTCCCTCACTGAGATAGTAAATTAAAAACAGTATCACATCCTGGGGAAAGTGGGAAAGATTAGTGCTACCCTTTAAGATCTGAAGAATATAGGATAATATTCCTCATTTATCCCCATTTAATTCACCAGTCTTGCCCTGACAAAACTGTCTGATCCTGGAGAATACTAAACTCAACTGAATAGTTGCCCTAGTTACAGTTGCTATGCCAGATGTAATATCTCTGCTGGAACACATTAATATGGCCTCAGGTACCTCGTGTTGACTTGCAAATGCCTTCATTTCCACTCCTATCAAGAAAAGGGGGCCTTCCCTGGTAGCTCAGCTGGTAAAGGATCTGCCTGCAATACAGGACACCTTGCTTCAATTTCTGCTTTTGGAAGATCCCCTGGAGAAGGGATAGACTACCCACTCCAGTATTCTTCGGCCCCTGGTGGCTCAGACAGTAAAGAATCTGCTTGCAATGTGGGAGACCTGGGTCTGATCCCTGGATTGGGAAGATCCCCTGGAGGAGGGCATGGCAACCCACTTTGGTATTCTTGCCTGGAGAATCCCCATGGACAGGGAAGCCTGGCGGGCTACAGTATACAGGGTCACAAAGAGTCAGACACAACTGAGCGACTAAGGACAGCACAGCACAAGAAAAGGTAACAGATGCCCATTAATAACACAGGCATTTTCTTTTTCCTTCAGTCATGATATAGCCCTAAGAAACCTGGACCACCTGGACATCCTGCATATCATCACAGAGATCCACTATAGTAGAGATATCATGCATGGTGGTTTGTAAGTATGCCCACAAATCCTTTGGTATCTCCTCCTTCAAGAGGTGGAGCTTAATTTCTCTTCCCTTGAGTGTGGACTGGACTTAGTGACTAACAAATAGAGTGGTGCAGTGTGATGATGTGTGACTTCTGAGACATTCAGCTCCATTCCTTGCTCTCTCTTGGGTCACCTGCTATGAGAGAAGCCAGGTTCCATGTGATAAGGACTCTGAATTAGCCCTACAGAGAGATTCATGTGGAAAGGAGCTGAGTCCTGCTGCCAAAAGCCATTTAAGTGAGCCATCATATTAAATAAAAGCATATCCTCTAGCCCAGTCAAACCTTCAGATGACTCAGCATCTTGCCTGTAACCTCATGGGAGACCTTGAGGCAGAATCACTCAAGCATGCCACTCCTGAATTCCTGACCTCCAAAAACTGTGAGATAATAAACATTTACTGTTTTAACCTGATGTGTCATTTCAAAGAGAGCAACAGATAACCACCCCATTAGGTTAATCAGAACAAGTGATTAAGCTGTGGCAAGAATGTTAGAGGCCTTGTCAAGAGGCATGTGCTCTAGAGGGTAAATGATACATCCAAAGAAGATTCAGCAGTTCTCCTTGTCAATGTCCAGTGGACTGGGACATGCCAGACACCCCAGCACTAAGAAGCATAGTGCCCAGTGGGCTCTTGGGGTTCTGGAGGCAGCATCTTCAACACTTGGAAATACTGCATTGAACCATTTCCTGAGTGGGGTCCAGAATAGGAAAAAGCTCTGAAGAAGTCTCAGGTTATGGTGCAAGGAGACCTGCTCCTTGAATCATATAGCCTAGTAGAACTATGCTATTAGAGACATCTCTGATGGGAAAATAAATTTTGTGGCCCTAGTAAGAGAATCACCACATTGACTGTAGAGTTCTGGAACAATGTTATGCCATCTGCAGCAGAGACCATTCCAAAAGTAGTCCTTAATGTGATACTGTGCCCTGGTAGAGACAGAGAACTTGATCTTGGAATATCCAGTAACAATGATAACAGAATTGTTCATCATAAGGTGTGTTCTATCAGATCCACTAAATCATAATGTCATGTGGGCCCCAGCAGAATTCTAGTAAGACGGATGTGATACATGTAGGATTGGTCCTGAGCAGGGCCAGAGGACAAGGAAGCAGCATAAGTAGATGGTTCAGATTCCTGTGTCATCCACACTATGGCACTATTGCCCCTTCCTCAGTTTACACATATGCTTGTTTTAGGGGTGGGAGGCAGGGAGATTCCCTACCTTTCCTTATGACAAGCTCTTGGAAAAGAAAAAACCTCTGCTTGGTGTACAGATGGGTCTGCTTGGTATGTGTAAAGTCAGAAATGGACTGCTACATTAGAAACCCATTCAAATATGGCCCTAGAAAACAGTAGTGAAAGGCAACTTTTCCAGCAGGAAAAGATCTGTGGTATACCTGGTCATCTACCTTGTGTGGAAAGAAAAGCAGCCTGAAATAAAAATATATATGGGACTCATGTCAGTGATGAATAGTGTGGCTCTTTACTTTGGAGTTTGGAAAGAGAAAGATTAGAAAATTGAAAATAATTGATTCTAGGGATGAGGCGTGTGGATGGACTTGGGGGAGTCCATTTCTCCAGCTTCTGGAAGTATTGAAGGAGTCCCATCTAGAAGATATTTTTTAAAACCTTCACATCTCAATTATAAGGAAAGAATCCAATTTTTAATGGATTTGAACATACTATGGAAAAAAGATACATGAATGACAAGCTCGTGTAAAGATGTTCATCATCATTAGTCATTAGGGACTTGCAAATTAAAACCAAAATGAAACACTATTTCATAGTTATGAGGATAGCTGAAATTAAAAGACTGAGCACACTGTATATGTGAAACTAATACAATGTAAATCTGTCAATTATATCTCAATTAAAAAATCATTTTTTAAAAGGCTGAGCACATCAACTGTTTGCGATGATATAGACGAACTGGAGCTCTCATACACTTCTGGTGAGCACGTAAAATACTTCGGAAAATAATCTGGCCATTCCTTTAAAAGTTAAACCATTACCTACTACACATAATCCAGCGCTTTTTACCTCTAGTTATTTACCCAGGAGGAAAGGAAGCATATGTCTACATAAAGACACACATATGTAGTGGTTTCATACACATTTTATTTGTAGCAGTCCGAAACTGGAAACAACCCAAGTGTTAATCAATGGGTAAATAAATTAGCAAATTTTGGCGTACCAGTACAATGGAATATCACTCAGCAGTGAAAATAAATGAATTCTGTAGTTACACAATAGCATCTATGAATCTCAAATTAATTATGCTGAGTGAAAGTAGCCAGATTTTGGAAAAAAGAAAACATACTGTGTGTCAATTTATCTAAAATTCTAGAAAGTATAACTGAACCTATAGTGACAGAAAACAGGTTAGTAGTTGTCTGGTGAAAAGGTGGTGGTTGAGAGGGACAAAAGAAGGCATCACAAAGGGATATAAGGAATCTTTCGGGAGTATGCTCATTAATTTACCAGATTTTACCTTTGAAAAACGTGTAGTTATTGTCTGTCATTATACTTCAACTAAACTTTTAAAAGAAGAAAAGATTAAATTTCAAGTCAGTGATGTCCAGTACCTCATCCTTGATTTAATCAAAGACCGTGATCTGGGAACACTATTCCCACTACAACTCATGGGGAAATGACCTAAATCAAGTCAGGGAATGTAGATTCCCTGGAGTTAGGTCAGTGCTGCAGGTTGTTGAGGGTTTTAAGTCAAATGATAAACAAAAAGTGGTATTCACTCATTCACCTAAAAAAGTTGTGTGTGTGTGTGTGTAAAATCTGTGTGGTGCCAGGTATTGTGCTAGGGTCTGGAGGCACATTGTTAAATCAGATATAAATCCTGTCCTTAAGGAAGTCAAGGTTATGAACCAGGTAAGTAGAGCTGCTTGAGTCTGAGACCTTCCAGAAATATGTGAGGGTCTGATAGGATGAGCTATGAGTGTGGAAGTGTCAGACCCAGGTTAGGAAGAACCAGGGCTGGGCACCAAAATAGAGACACTTTGACCCAGGAGGATCTCTAAGGATTCTGTTTCTGGCCTTCTAACATCCAATCTTGAGCCATGCAGCAAGGGTTTTGGGCAGGGGCAGATCCCCTGACAAAGAGTAGGGAAAGTAAGTGCCCCCAAATATGTCTGTGTGATGAGCCGAATAATGAAAGGAAGCGTGTTCAGTAATGGCCAAAGGGAAAAGCACTGCAGAAACTGGCTGGCCTACAGTACAAAGTCCATAATAGAGGAAAAAGAAAAATAATGCTCCAGGAAACCTTTTGGGGACTGGAGGTTATTGTTGTTCAGCCCCTCAGTCATGTCCGACCCTTTGTGACCCCATGAACTGCAGCACGCCAGACTTCCCTGTCCTTCACTATTTCCTGGAGCTTGCTAAAATTCATGTTCATTGATTCCGTGATGCTATCCAACCATCTCATCATCCCCTTCTCCTTCTGCCTTCAATCTTTCCCAGTATCAGGGCCTTTTCCAACCAGTTGGCTCTTCTCTAATACTCTGGCCACACATCAGGTGGCCAGAGTATTGGAGCTTCATCTTCAGCATCAGTCCTTCCAACTAATATTCTGGGTTGAGGGTTTAAGAGATTGGAGGAGTGGACACAAATTGGAATCTGCGGGCTCTTAAAATCCAGTCTGAACAAGTGGAGCTCAGTGAGTATCAGACAAGAATTAGCACAGATGGGGAGCAGAGAGGCAGAGTGTTCCTCAGTGTAGTTAGTGGTGTAGCCAGATCAGAGAGTAAGGGGGGAAACCTCACTTATAGCTATGAACTCAGAAAGTATAGCTAAACATTCACAGCCAATTAGAGGAATACATTCAAAAGAGCACCACCATTTGACCAAACACCAGAGGAGGAGCTTGCTCACCAGCCAGGGCGTGCATAGATGACCTTTGAGGAAGGAAGTCAAGGGGCATCTGACAGGAGAAGAAGGTGTTCAGATCAGGGCAGAAGTAGGTGCCCGTGGGTTGTTCACGGGAGACGCTCGGGTGTGTGTGGGAGCCAAATAAGAGACCTAAAAGCCTGTGATTTCAGGAAGTGAGGAAAGTGTACCATGAGGAGAGGATGACAGGGGTAGGGCCAGTGTGATGCAGGGCAAAGGTCCTCACATGACAGAATCAGTGTGACATGCGAGGGGGCTCGGCGGCTTAGCGGGAGGGGGCCTGTACCTCATAGAGGAGGGAGGCTGTTTTCAAGTTAAGTGCTGGTAAATGTCACACAGAAAGGAAGAGATCAGCCACGCTGAGTGAGGACAGGTGAGTAAACCTAAGGGAACCGGGGGCTGAAGTATTACTAGTAGATTAGGGCAGACAGGATTGGCCAGCTGAGATTTCTCTTTACCAATAAAGGAGACCAAAGTTCTTGGCTTACAGTACATCCCCCTGGGGGTCAGGAATCTCACCTTGGATAAATTGCCCATAATGCAGTGGGAGGGCAGACCCTCTAGAAAGACAGGGACTGTTTTCCTTCCCTCCGATGCCTTCCTCCCTTAGTTCAGAGTCACTTGCTCCCTTGAACCTCCCCACCTTTTTGTAATTTCTCCCCTTGCAAAGCTTCCTGAGCCTCAGGAATTCACTCCCTGGTAATTCACTGGTAATTCACAATTCTGGCTGGTGATTCACTCCCTTCCCAGATCTTCTTGCTGGAAGAGGGTGTGGAGACAGCAGACATGAATGGCTTCCTTCTGGCCTTCGCTATTCTGACAGTGGCTGGTGAGTGCAGATTCCTATTTTGGCTTAAAATTTTGAAAAGGTTATATTGGAAAAAAGTAGGAAATGGGTATAGATAACAGGGGTAGCTCAGCTGGGAAAGAATCTGCCTGCAATGCAGGAGACACCAGTTCAATTCCTGGGTCAGGAAGACCCCCTGGAGAAGGGACAGGCTACCCACTCCAGTATACTTGGTCTTCCCTTGTGGCTCAGCTGGTAAAGAATCCGCCTGCAATGTGGGAGACCTGGGTTTGATCCTTGGGCTGAGAAGATCCCCTGGAGAAGAGAAAGGCTACCCCACTCCAGTATTCTGGCCTGGAGAATTCCATGGACTGTATAGTCCATGGGGTTGCAAAGAGTTGGACATGACTGAGTGACTTTCACTTTCACAAGTGATCATCAGAAAGTTAAGAACTCAGAACCCCAGGGATTGGTAGTTTTCTAGAACTCTCAGAGGTTCTCTTCCTCTGGCTCCATGAGCACAAGAGAAGATTCAGACTGAGATGAGATTTTACGCAATAGAAGGTGGATATTGGCACCCAAAAAATGCGATTTTGCGATATAGCTAAGAAGGATGTTTGAGGAAAAGAAGGAAGAATCAAAAGGAAGAAAGGAAGGGAGAGAAAGTGTGAGTAACAGGGAGGACACAAATACGGAAGGAAGTCCAAGGGGAAGTTAACAGAAGGATTCTGAAATAGTTTAATAGTCCCTTAAATACCAAAAACAGATGGGCCATTTCAAAGCACTTCCACATAAAGAATTTCAGACTTCCATCCTTTGGAAAGTCTGCCCCTGCCTCTAAGATTCTGCCTTCCTCTCCCCATCTGACAGCAGTAACAATGACTGGAACATCTATACCAGAACAGGCAAACTCAGTCCTGCAATTCTTTCAGAAGAATGAATCAACCTTTTTGGTTTTCCTGAACTCAGAAAAGGACACTTGTCTGGGGACCCTGATCCACAAACAATGGGTTCTTACCGCAGCACACTGCTTCTTACCGTGAGTGATGGGGTCCTGGAATGAGAAGCATTCCCCCTTCTTAGTCACTGGGATGGCTCAACCCCAAAGAGACTTGCATGGGGAACTCTCAAACCTAAGAAGTGGTTGGAAAGAGGCAGGAAATAGATCCCGGTGGTTATGAGTTAGATTCCCCAGTAGGATGATGCAAGATGAACAATAGAATAATATCTATTTCCTCTGCTCATCCTTCATGGCCTGTTCCAGATTTCTTGAGATGGAGATTGATATTTTAGATGAGGATTTCCAAAAAAGGATGGAGAGCTTAAGACCCATGCTCACTGTCCCACATCCAAGTTTCAAACAGGATTCTGCCGAGCATGACATAGTGCTCATCAAGCTGACACATCCCCTAAAGCTCAACGACCAGGTAAAGTTGGCAGCTCTGCCCAGTCCCACAACTGACAGAAGGATGAACAACTGCACTGTCTTTGGCTGGGGCTGGTCATGGCAGAATTCTGGTGAGTGACCCTCAAGATGGACTCTTAGTGTTCCTTGAGTGCCCACTCTGTGAGGATTATCACAGAGCTGAATTATTAGAAATCAAGAGAGCTGTTAGTGTCCTGAGAACTTATACATCTTAACTTCTAATTTTATGAATGTGGAAATTGAGGCCAAATAGGTCATAGGAGAGACCTTATCTTATAAGGGGTAACATGGCTATGTATGGCTGGAGGTCTCTAGAATCCTGTATTCTTGACTCATTTATCATTCAGATGCAGGTGGGAGGGTGTATGGGTGAGGAAGGGGTTGGAGGATCATCCTGCTGGTGATACTGAATGTGGCTCATTCTTTAGAAATTTACAGCATTCACAAGTAAAACCATGCATACCCAAGTCCAAGACATGTGGTATACAGCACTGGAACCAGATACTGGCTTTCTCATTTCATGTGTTTTCTTCTCTGGTTCCCTTTCAATTTATTTTTTCTTTCGTTGAATGATAGAGAGGTTAATTACAGGTAAGAGGGAGGGAAGGAGAGAAGAAAGGGAGATGAATGTGTGAAGGATCAAAGAAAAATAAACTCTCTCTCTCTCTCTCTCTCCATCCCGCCCTCACCCTGTGTGTGTGCACGTGCTCAGAGGTAAAACCTGATGTCAAAATAAAGCAGACTGTCTCTTGCTTCTCTAATGAATATTGTGAAGATTCCCCTATAGGAAAAATGCCTGTTAAAATCACAGAGAACATGTTCTGTGCAGGATTGTCTCTGGAGAGCAAACACACATGTAAGGTAATTCTTTTCCCTTGGGCCCTCCCCAGTTTGTTCTGGGACACTGCTTGGGGGTCCACATATACTCCTTCAACACAATCCAGTTTCTTGTTTACATCCAAGAAGAGATCAAGGTAAATGTGGTCCAGGAAGAACCAAGCATGAATGAACATGAATGTGAGTGTGGAGACACCTGAGTGTTGCCTTTCTCTGTGGCTTCCTCTGATGTAGCCTAGGGTGAGTGATGGGACGGGTCCCAGATGGCCACCAGACATTTCTCCCAACCCTCATCCCCTGAGTCTTTCTGTCTGGGCTCCTCAGAGGGGCACTGGGTACTAGGTCATCTTTGTTCTGGCTACTGTGCCTGACCCATCTCTCCTCTTTCTAACAGGAAGTACTTGCTATCCCAATCCTGTGCCAAAATCAGCTCCAGGGGATCTTATCCTGGTCAGAAGGGTGTGTTCTGAGAGGTGACATTGGCTACTACACCAAGGTTTCCCGCTATACAGACTGGATCCACAGAGTCATCAGTGCCTACTGAACGTCCTCTGTTCCCCCTCCCAGCAGCCTCAGAACTGGGTCTACCATCCTTGACCGTTTTTCCCTCTATCCCCAGAAAAAGACGGGAATAGAGTCTGGTTGTGAGAAGTTTTCTCTTCCTTCTGTTCCTTCTTTTCTCCTGAATGGTCTTCTCCTTTCTCAGTCCCAACCTGAATGATCATTGAAGGATCTGAGCTGGATAATGTGGCTCAGATGGTAAAGAATCCACCTACAATGTGAGAGACCTTGGTTTGATCCCTGGGTTGGGAAGATCCCCTGGAGGAGGGCATGGCAACCCACTCCAGTGTTCTTGCCTGGAGAATCCCCATGGACAGAGGAGCCTGGCAGACTACAGTCCATGGGGTCACAGAGTTGGACACGGCTGCAGTGGCTAAGCACACTCTGTTGTCATCAATGGGATGCCTTCTCACCACTCCTTGCCTTTCTTCCAACTTTCTACTTACCTGCTGTGTTTCTTTAGACCTTTCTGAGTTACGCTCCCCAGCCTTCGAAAGGATGTGTGACAGTGAGACCAAGCACCTCCAGCCTGCCTCCTTTGTTTGACATCACTTAATGCTGAGTCAGCCTTCAGAACGTGCTCTCTCGCTTGATCATCTCCAATCAGGTGGCAGTAAATTCTGGGATGTTAAATAGGCTGCTGGCAGTATCACTATTAGAAATGGAGGCTAGAATTTTATGGTGACAAGAATTATAAAGACTTCAGGGAATTCCCTGATGGTCCAGCTCCACTCCATGCTTTTACTGTGGAGGTCCTGGGTTTGATCTCGTCAGGGAACTAAGATCCCACAAGCTGCAAGGGACAGCCAAATTTTTTTTTGTTTGTTTTTTAAGTTATAGACTTTAAAAAGGTTAGGAGATGAGGGAGGAGTTAAATGGGTCAGATCACCAATAGGAAAAGAGGAACAATCTCCTGAGAGATCTTTCCTAATGCTAAGCAAGAAAATACTTAGATGGCTGGAAAGAGAATACTAGAAACGACAGAGAAATATTGAAATCTAAGTGGCTGTAAGTGTGTTTGTGTGTGCATGTGTATGCATATGCACATAAGCATGTGTATATTGGAGCGGGTATGCCCAGAATGATCTCACTGAACCAGAATCTTTCCTACATCAACTGCCAGTTCAGCTGATTTTCTTCAACCTTTGCTTCCCTACCTATAAAGGTAGGATGTTACCTTTATAAATTATTAAATTGTTTAAAAACTAAAATATGTCCTATATTGTCATTCTAACAATTTGTTTTGGAAATGTTTAAGACAAGAAGTTGCAGAAAATATTGCAAAGAGTTTCTGGGTACCTAATACCAACCCAGTGATAGTATCTCCTATAACAATAGTAACATGTCAAATCCAGAAAATTCAGTGGTTCAATGCTGTTCACTCACATATAGACCTTATTTGGTTTTACAAGTCTTTCTTCACATACACTATTTTTTTAGGGGGTAAAATTTGAAGTGTTACCATATTTGTGGATTTCTATAACCGTTGCCACAATCAGAATCCAGAACTGTCCCAATAACAAGGAAGAAAGGTTTTTGTGTTACACTTCAGTAACCACCTAAATAATCACACCCTCTTCCAGTCCTAAGGCTTTGAAACCACTGATCAGTCCTGCAATCACTGTAACTTTGTCACTCTGAGAGTGTTATGAAAATGGGATCCATATGACCCCATTGCTCTTTCTCAGTTTGTGATGGCCTAGTGGACTTTCTGGAGAAGGCAATGGCAACCCACTCCAGTCCTCTTGCCTGAAAAGTCCCATGCATGGGCTGCCGTCTGTGGGGTCACACAGAGTCGGACACGACTGAAGTGACTTAGCAGCAGCACCAGCGGCCTTTCATTGCCTCTTCGTTTCTGTCTGAAGTTCACTGAGCCATTCTTGTCGAGCAGGGGTGCTGGTAACAAATTCTCTTAGTGTTTCTTCACCTTCTTTCCTGAGGGATATGTCTTACTTGGTAAAGAATTCTGGGTTGACAGTGTTTTTCTTCCAGGACTTGAAAAATGTTTGTCTCTTCCTTCCATTGTCCTTCAAGTTTCTGAGGAGAAACCTGCTGCTGTTTGAATCATTATTTCTCAGTAATCCATTGTTTCTCTCTAGCTGTGGCAGCTTACAAAAGTTTTTCTTTGTCCTTCGTTTTCAGAAGTTTGATTATGATGTACCTGGGTGTGAATCCCTTAAAATGTATTCTATTTAGGGTTCACTCAATTTTTTGAATCTGGAAGCGTGTGTCTTTCACCAAACTTGAGCCATTGTTTTTTCAAATGTTTTTCTGCTCAGAATCCTGTTTCTTTCTTGGAAACGTTGGTAATGTGAATGTCAGATCTGCTGTTACTATCCCACAAGTCCTGGGGATCTATTCATTTTTTTAAAAAATCTCTTTTTTTCCTGGTGTTCATATTTATCATTTCTATTGCTCTATCTTTAAGTTCACTGAGTCTTCTGGCACCCCATTTCACTATTGAGCCATTGTTTTAATTATTTTTTTATTTTTTATACTTATATTGTTTTCATATCTTGGGGCCCTTGCTGACCAGAGAGAGACTGGCCCTCCCAAATCTAACTAATTCCTTCAGATAGCAAATGATTCCCCTACACGAGCTTTTTACATTGCAAACCAACCACTCCAGAGCCCATATCCCAACAACCTTTCTTACCTAANGGATGGGGTGGGGAAGGAGGTGGGAGGGGGGGTTCAAGGTATAGGACACATGTGCACCCATGGGAAAAACCACCAATATTGTAAAGTAATTATCCTCCAGTTAAAATAAATAAATTTAAAAAACACAACAATCCATTCCTAGGATTGCTCAAACTTGCCTACCCCTTCCTTCTTTTGGAAGCCAAAATGGCTTGTGTCCATGCTGGCATTTTTTCATCTAGCCCCGCATGGCACGACATGCCCCTTGAATAAACTCTTCTTTCAATAGTATTGACCTCTCAGTATCCTCATGCAGTTACCTTGATAAATTAAATCCTGGGAACTATCAAAACACCCACCAATGTGTTTTTATTTCAGATTTTATATTTTTAAATTCTAAAATTCCCAGTTGGTTCTTCTTTATATCTTGTATAAATATTTTCTAAGGTTTTCTGTTTTTCTTTTTTTCCCCACTTGATTCAGGAGTATGTGCGATGGCTTATTAGAACATTTTAATAATAACTGCTTTAAAATCCCTGTCCAATACTTCCAACATCTGTGTCAGCTTGGCATTGGTAACTCTTGCTTGTCTTTTCTTACTTGAGTTGATATTTTCTTAATATGGTGAATAAGTTTGGACTATATCCTGAGCATTTTTTATTAGGGTGGCCAACAAATTCATTTGGAATTTTTGTAAGATGGTATTGAACAACCTGAAAGAATTTTTGGCCAACCCAGTATTATAAGACTCTGGTTCTTATTTACATTTCCTAGTTTAGTATTTAGTTAACCTGTTTATATTCAGAATGTATATCCTAGCCTATGTTTGTGAACTGTGGTTCAAATTCAGTTTATGTGGCTTCTACAGAACCATTGCTCATTCTAATCCTCAGACCCTATGAATATGTTCCCTTATTCTTATATGGAAAATATATTCTTATATTCTAATATATTCTTATTCTTATATGTTCCCATGGTAAAAGAGACTGTAAATGTGATTAAGTTAAGGATCTTGATTATTTTGGATTTTCAGGTAGGCTCAATGTAACCACATGTGTTTTTATAAGAGTAAGATAAAAGGGTCATTAAAAGGAGGGGAGATGTGATCACAAGGTTGGAGTGCTTTGCTTTAAAGATGGAGGAAAGGGCAATGAGCCAAACCATGTAGGAAACCTCTAAAAACTGGGGGGAAAAAACAAGGAAACAGACTCTGCAGACAGAATGCAGCTCAGTGGACACCTTGGTTTTAGATGAATTCAGCTTTCTGATCTCCAAAACTGTAAGATAATACATTTGTGTTGTTTTAAGCCACCAAAATTGTCATGATTTGTTATAGTAGCAACAGGAAGCTAATATAGTAGAGGAAGCCAGCATTTTGCCACCCAGCTCCATCACTGCAGCACCACTGGGGCATGGCTTTTTCATAGTGTTCTGTCTCAAGAACAGGCAAATTACCAATAACTTAGTGGTTTAAAAGAGCATACATTTATTATTTTGTAGTTTCTCTGAATCAAGAATCCTGTAGGTCAGAAGGCTAAAATGTGTGGACAAGTTATATCTCCACTTAGAGGTTCAAGTACCGAAAGACCTGCTCCCAACTCCTTCCCATCGTTGACAGAATTCATTTCTTTACAGTTCTAAGACTGTGATCCCCATCGTCTTGCTAGCTGTCATCTGGGGACCACACTGAGCTCCTAGAGGCCATTCTTACATCATTGCCACGTCTGAGGACCCCTTTGTCATAGCAAAAGAAATCCTCCCTCATGCTGAATCCCTCTGACTTTCTCTTCTACCACAACCCAGAAAAAATTCTTGACTTTTAAAAGATGCATGTGTAAGATCAGGATCACCTGGATAATCTCCATGTCTTAAGATCAGCCAAGGCATAGAGCAGAGCTTAATCACAGAGGTAAAGTGATAGTCCCAGTTCCAGGTCAGGACATCACTGGTAGGAAACTTGGGGTGATATCTTGGAATTCTGCCTACAGCGTACAGCTAAAAGATCTCTGTTTTACTGACTGCCCCTTTCCTGGTCCTTTGGCTGGAAAGAGTAGGATTTTCTTGGGGATATTTTTGTTCCTTACCACTGGTATTTCCATGTTGCAAACTTCTCTCACACACAAACCTAGATATACAGAGGTCAAGTAAAATCTCAGGAAAAGAAGAGACGCTAAAGCAAAGGAGAAAAGGAAAGATATACCCATCAGAATGCAGAGTTCCAAAGAATAGCAAGGAGAGATAAGAAAGCCTTCTTAAGTGACCAATGCAAAGAAACAGAGGAAAACAATAGAATGGGAAAGACTAGAGATCTCTTCAGGAAAATTAGAGATACCAAGTGACATTTCATGCAAAGTTGGGCACAATAAAGGACAGAAACAGTATGGACCTGACATAACCAGAAGGTATTAAGAAGAGGTGACAAGAATATGCAGAAGAACTGTACAAAAAAG